GTCAACTGCAAAAGGAAGGGGGAAAGCTAAGGCTTTACAATGCAGAATAGTGTATGCTCACTGGAGTGGGAGAAAAGACTGCAGATAAGAAGCTAGGTGGGGTCAGCATCTACATTTGTATTTCTCTGCAGGGTGGAGTAGACAACGAGGTCTCGCTGACAGCCTACATCACTATCGCGTTGCTGGAGATTCCTCTGCCTGTAACTGTACGTGGCTGCATCCTAACTTGTTGTGTTAGTCTGTGACACAGTATGACCAATATTTGTCAAACTGGAAAAATGACTTGGTTGTTGAGCCCTGTGGTATAAGAATTTGGTGCTGTCAATATTTTATTTCTGAAACACATTGAACCCTACTCGTTTTTAGATATCATTCTGGCAGATCCCTCCTGAAAGTTCAGTGGGATGATGTGCTCTTAGTAAGTCAAAAAACCTCATTTCTTCTGAACCTTCTAATCACTGGTTATCTCTCTCCAGCACTCATTGATACGGAATGCTCTGTTCTGCCTGGAAACAGCGGCGGCAGATCAGAAAGAAAACCATGTGTACACCAAGGCACTGCTAGCATATGCATTTGCCCTGGCAGGGAAAACAGATAAGCGGAAGACATTGCTTGACTCACTTGAAAAGGAAGCCGTGAAAGAGGGTAAGTACTCCTGGTGGAACATCTCTTTCATCGGCCTTGTATCTTCCCTTGATAAAATGGCTTTTGTTGGTGGGGCAATCTAGACGTGAGGCTCAGCATCCTCATACTAGCTGTAAACCCACCAAATGTGTAACCATAACCCTTCCCCCTTCATCCTGCATGACAGACGCATCCTGGAGGCTGCATCCTCCCACCTGGAGTTGCAGCAGATCAAGAAGTCTCCTGCAATAACTCGTAGTAATTGCTTGTTGTCTTGTCTCCACGCTCCCTGCCTCCTGTGTAGATGGGTCTGTTCATTGGCAGCGACCTGGGAAAGAGCCAGAAGTTGATCTCCCCTACTATCGCTACCGAGCTCCCTCTGCTGAAGTGGAGATGACAGCCTATGTGCTCCTTGCTTACCTCACCTCTCAGCCAGCACCTTCCCAGGAGGAGCTGTCATTTGCATCTCATATCGCAAAGTGGATCAGTGGTCAGCAGAATCCCAATGGAGGCTTCTCCTCCACCCAGGTGAGCTGCTTCCCATTCCCTCCTGCGACTTTGCACATCAATGTCGGAGGATGGGACATGTCAGAGAGCCAGGTGGGAGCCCAGTAAGGTTTGCCAGGAAGGTGGGAACATTAGACCTGCAGTATATCCATGCAGTACCCACCATGCCAAGTGCTTGAAATGCTAGAGGCAAGTATGTCAGGTAGTGTCCTTGGGAATGACTGAAACTTTGATTAATGACCTGATTTTCTTGACACGGTGGGGCAGAATGATAGGGACACAAGGAATGTGTGTTTGTGCCGTTGGAGAGGGCTCATGCTGCACTTTGTTTGTGCATATAAAATTGCTGCTTTGTCCTGTAAAGTGCAAGGGAAGGCTGTGCACAGCTCCACACCAAGGAGGTCATGGAACCTTCAACTGCTATCCAGAGGACACAGGAATGGAATGGGAACATGCAAAAGCTGATCTTTGCCTCTGTCTTTTCGACTTAACACTGGAGAAAGTGAAGGATGGATGGGAGGGT